GCTCAATACGTGGCCGATGCCGTACTACTTGGTCTGGATCCTATAGCGACGATTGGTTTCGTCAGACTTTGCGCGTCCGCGTGGCCGCCGTTATGCTGCCTTTCCTGTGCATCAAATTGGTTTCGTTTGCGGCGCACCATGGCCGATGCCGGTGGTGGGTGAGGCGGGTTGGGGCGGGGGGGAACTGGACTCGACGGTCGGGGCCCGGCTGTGTTGGGTGAATGCAATAACTGAGAGCAGGCGACCAATAACTGGCAAAACAATATCACAAATTATTATTGATCTTTCCCCAGTTATTGTTTTAAAAAAATAAGAAATAAACCGCTCCGAAATAGATGATGTTTAAAGTTGGTATCCGATTTAATTGCATCGAAAAAGTGCCTTATTGATACGTGCACACCTCACAAAGCTGATGCTCCACGCTCCGCACTGCGCGCGCGCGCGCAGCCGGGTGCCTGGTGCGTAGGCAACCCCGCATGCACGGGCCAAGTCGGTTGGGTGGCCTACCTACCTCTGCAGCCTGTTCCACCCCATGCCAAGCCCTGCACTCTGTGCTGCGCTGCCAACTCCTACAGTCTTACCCACGGGATTACTCATCTTGCCTTCAATATGCCGAATCAAAAAAATAAAAGGGACACGATTGGTCCGAAAAAAATCTACAGCATTGGCGATTGACTTTGCGAGTTGCCACACACGAAGTGTGCGGTTGCGGTGTCCAGTTTGTTGATGGCGTGTGACTATTTGTGTACGCGGGAAGCCGCTATTCCCCTTCCCACTTCACAACTACAAACACACGCGCGCGCACATACACTACGCAGCCCAAACACTACCGCCAGGAGTCACCTACACTCGTTCACAATGGGGTGGCATGGCACATAAACGGGGCATAAACACACGCGCACGCACAAACGCCTGTCGCGATGTTGTTTGCGCGCTCTTAAAGTGTATAAATGGGGACATGTAATCCGGTTTTGCGTCGCCCAAATGCACGTGAAAAATGTACTTAAATCAAGCATTTTTCTCTAACATCAGGAATCCAGCTTCCTGAGGGCACTGAAAAGAAAACCCAACTGTGCGAATGTCGCAAGGAGTGGAACCGAGCAGAACTACGTGGAGTTCGAGAAAGCAATCAAAGAGCACAACCGAACAGAATTATTGATTGACTTGTCGCGCTTTTATTCCAACACAACAGAACAAAACGACAAACATTTGAGAACGACAAAGTATCTAAAAATTCGTTTTCAAAAGTTTACCATTTCTGGTCGATTTTTGAACGGGTCGGGGAAAAAACTAGTTTTTTATTTTTTCTAAAGGCCCTCAGTCCCCTGAGTCCGCTGACCTTGGAAATTTCGCGCTACCTCATATAGTTCTCGAGATATCGCCTGTTGCTTCTGAAAAACAAAGACCATAGAGCCATACCAGTCCGCGAATTCACTTTCCCCCTAAAGTTTTTGTTGCTCTAGAGCATCATATGGCATTACAGAAAAGAGTGAATTAAGTAGGGGGAGGACAGTGGGGAAAGGAAGGGACAGTAGCAGACATGTCACCACCCCGCGCTTCCCCGTGCGTGAACCTCTGTAGCGGCCTACGTACCGACTGTACGTCGTAAACTGCAGTACGCACTTAATCGGTGGAATA